GGGGGGGGGTGTCTCTAGTTTTAGTTTTTAGTAGTACGAATTTTGCTGCACTTGCAACACAACTAGGTCGTTCATGTCAGTGCCCAAGATTCGAGGTGTAGCTAGCGAGTAACACACAAAGAAAAGGAGGAGGAGAGATAAGGAACATATATAATAATATGGGAAAGAAGGAGCAATTATTAGCCCCAGCATGCAGAGCACCCCGCCACCCACCCACTAATAATAGTGCTAGTTGCGAGTAACCTTAAAGGTACATAATAGCCGGTGGGGCTTAAAGGTGGGGAAAGCCCTAGGAGTGACCGAGGGTAGCCAAGTCTGAGAGAGGGAGGGGGTATGAGAGAGGGGGGGGAGGGATGGTGGCGGTGAAGAATTTGCACATGTATAAACTGTGGAAGAATGTGAGTGAGAGTAAGTGGGGGTGAAGGTGGTGGGTGAAAGGAGGAGAGGAGAGAGAAAGTGTTCCTCTGGGTTTTATAAACGGAGAGAGAGACAAAGAGAGACGGGGGGGTAGTGTGAGTGTTTTACCGCGTTCGCAAGTGCAATAAGGTCATATTATGGGGGAGTAGGACATATTAAGCATTTTCAATTTGGTAGGAATTAATTTTGAACTTCGCCTGGATGGCTGCCGAAGACTGTTCTTATCAATCTTAGAACCCCCAAGGATCGTTTACGTGCTGAACTTGAATACGAGACTTCCGAGATTGTTTCTCCCTTATCCAAGAAGGCTAGGTGTTCGATCTTGCCTTATGTATCAGGTATCAGGGTGTGGCTGAAAGACAGCTGTAAGAATTTAAGGAGCCAGGTAGTAGCAGTAGAAGAACAACAGAAAAAGTCAGGAGCACAGAGAAGGGGGCAAAATGGGGCGAGGGAGTTGATGAAAATTGAGACGAAAGCAGATGAGTTAGTAGAGAGAGTTAGGCATGGTTAGAGTTAGAGAGCAGGAAAGGAGATAAAAAAAATAATTTAAGGAGACAATGTTCCGCCTCTCTCAGGTTCCTGGGTTATAGTTAAAGAATCTATTGTGGCGTCGGTGGTCTAGTGGTTAGGCTCTCAGGCTCGCAACCGTAAGGTCGTGGGTTCGAATCCCGTCAGGGGCCCGACGTTGTGTCCTTGGGAAAGGCACTTTACACGAATTTTCCTCACTTCACCCAGGTGGGAATGGGTACCCGGCTATAGACAGCGAAAGATCTTGTCAGTTTGTTAGTGTTTGAGCGCTTAATCAGCTGCTTGCACTGTATGCTTCCCGGGAAGCTGAGAATGTTTCGGAGTGTTCAATGGTCTGCTGGGGTAATAATATGGTGTAAAGCGTATAGAGCCTGCTTTTGAGGGGGGGATATGC